CTTAAAAAATGCAAAATCAAATGAAGTCAGCATTTAATTCCTATTTACTCTAGTAGCCTATCTTTTAAGAATGTCTCCTAAGATATGGACTGCAAACTAATTTTCACAGACCTGCTGGAGAGTAACACACCATTTGGAAGATAATAAGTGTAATTTAATTCATACATTTCAGCATCTTATTTATCTAAAACTAATAGGCCGCTATTAAATATTGACAATTTTATTAACTCAGCATCTGGGAAAACACTTATGATTAGGTTAATTTATGTTATATTTTCCCCCCAACTTGTAAAAGATTAATCAACCATTTTATGGTGTAATTTAGGGGCCTAATTAAAAACAGAGCTCAACACATGCTACACAGTCTTGCTGGTAAATCTTGACAGCATTCTAACATAATGGTTTGTATTTCACATTGTTGCATCTCGATGTCAATGTCTGACCTTCTCCCAGAAGCCGAGACGTGAGCCTCATACTTGCCTTAAACTCCAGAACCGAAGAAGTGCAATTATTTAGACACAGATTATCCCCAATGAGATCTTAGCCTCCAGTGAAGTCAGAACAGGGCTAGCCACCAAATTTTTAGAAACAGACTAGGCATATGGAAGTGGGAGATCCGCTAAAAATATAAAGGAAATTACTATTTTTCAGCTGTCCCAGAGAGACATTTATTACTGGGTTTTAGGATCTCTAGGAAAATCTGAGTTCTAGCTACATCATCTGCCTTTTGATTAATAAGCACCCACTAATCACTGTGTCCTTCTTGACTTGGGATCATTCTATCTTTTTAAATGAACAAATTAATTCCAAGGAGCTTGAGAACATGTCACTTAACCTGGGCCTCCCAGCCTGAAAGGGGCAAATGGCATTGAATAAACCACTTCCTCCGGGAGACACTGGCTGTTTTCTCAGCCACTAGACCTGAGGGGTATTTTTGTCATTTTAATGACTCCTTTGATTCTAGCTGTCCTGTGCAGAGAAATAAAAGTGCCAGAATGGTATGATTGTCCTCATCTAGTTAGAAACCAGTGCAGGATGGTTCCAAGTCAACTGTCCGGGCATTATAAAGGCTTTAAGACAAATGACAAAGTGGGCACTCTGCATGGGGGTGGGGGGTGGGGGATTAGGAGTGGGGTGGGGTACTGGAAGTGGGCAAGAAACTCTCAAACTCTATTAGCGCAGAAATCACATTGAATAATTACACATGACTAACAGTATGTTTTGGTCACTAACATCAGGGAGCCTTGCACAGAATGACCTCTTGTTGGAATAAGCACTTTCTAGCTGTGAGACTTTAAGCAAGTTGGTTAACCTCTCTGTGCCCGCGTTTCCTCACCTGTCAAAGTATCCACTTCACAGAATGGTAATGGGGATTAAACTAGCTAACCTGAACACTTGAAACAGTGCCTGGTACGAACAGTTAGTACAATTTAACTACAACGTTGTTAAACCACACACACACACACACACACACACACACACACACACACACACACACAGTGGGGTGTGGTATTGGCCACAGCACTGAAGTGCCAGCTTATTTTGTACAACTGAAAGGGGAGCCATTCTGAGAAAGGAGTTCCCACCACTGTCAACTCTGTGGAGCAAATGACAATCAAACAATGTCTGATTAAGTTAATTCTTCAACTCTGATCATCAAACTTGTGGAAATATACAATAAATTTAAGCTGGATCAAGAAGAAATGCTTTTTAAAAACTGCATGATTAATACTTCTCCAGTTTGGAAAAATCTTTAAAAGTTAGTATTTCCATACATAATAATAAATTTGTGACCAGGTTATATAAAAATTTGTGACCAGGTTATATAAAAATATATATATATAAAAAGAATTAATTAAAAAAAAACACTTCTCCAGTTTAAATTCGGGTACCAAGCTGGTTGGATGTTTGCTCCACCTGGGGATTTAAAGATCCTGCTCCCCTAGCCCCAAATCTCCCAGACACCACACCCCCACCTGAGAGTAAAGGCCACCAGATAGCCCCCATGAGCCTCTAAGACATCACTATCGGGCACTCACTAAGTTTGGAGGGTAATTAGAGAACACAGGATGTGAACTGGAAAGTCAGTTCAGAACTCTTGTACAAACTGGGACCCGAGCAGACAGAGGCCGGAACTAGCTCACATTAGCTTTGTGATTTTTGCAAACTTGGGCGCTGTAAAGAATCCCAATGGCTGGGTGGTGGCGCAGAGTCAACCCGAAGCTGCCACCTCTGCAGACTCTGGCCTCCCAGGAGTCTGGGTCACCCACTGGCTGATCGTTTCTTGGTAGGGAGTATAAAGATTGCCAATTCCCTGGCATCCAGGAAAATCCACCAGGCCCTGGGCCACTGGTCAGGCCCCTGGCGGGTCTGTGTATTAACCCATTAAACTCATTAACGGCTTGCTCAGACACAGCTACGACCTCATTCTACAACCAATTGCCTGCTGACCCCAGAACTCAGCCATCCATTCCACACCCCCTCCCATTTCGTCTCAAACGCCTTTAAAAAGGCCTCTCTCCTCGCTCACACTCTGGCTTTGAGGACTTGTTCTAACCACGATTCTGCCTTGCAACTCCCTGGTTAATTATTATTTATGCTGTTCTCCAGCGGGCGGTCTATCTCCGGACGGAGTAGAAGGGACCCTGCAGGCCTGATTTGGAGCCCAGCCCTGCGAGCCTGGTGGACTCCAGCCGGGCTAGGTGCAGCGCTCTGGGTCAGCGTCTCGGGCGTTTGTTGGATTTAAAGTTTCAGGGTTGCTTTCAAATTAATCGTGAAGTTCTTACATTGCCAGGCACCCAGAACCGTCTAAAATGATTTACAAGTTTTAAGTAAACAGATAGTATTTTAAATATTTTTTTTTCTTTAAGAAAATATCCAGTAACTCGGCTGGCCCGCCGATCCCTGGGTGGGACAGCCCGGGAAGGCCGCAGCCGGGAAGGACACTTGTACCATGGCAGTTAGATCCACCAGGTCACAGCCTCGGGGCCTGTGCCTCCCGGTGGCGTCAGAAGGAAGAGAACCCTGATCCACCACGGCCTGGTTGAGCCCAGTGGTCCGCGCGTCTCTGAGGCTGCTGGCGTTGCGGCTTCGGGTCGCTGGTCTCTGCCACGCTCTTTGGGCTGCGCTCTCCGCGGTCAGGGCCTCCAGCGCACCAAGGGCGGTGGCAGGTGGAGGCAGCCACCTCCGCCTCCGCGTGAATCTTCCAGTGGGGATTTCCATCGCCTGCCTCAGGTGCCTCTAACACCCCCGATGGCTCAGTGACTCTCCTGCCAGTTCCTCCCAACTCGGCCTCAAGTGGGTCTGACCAAAAAGCCCGGACTGGCTCGGGCTCGGCTCCGATACAAATGGTTCTAATCATTAGCCTGCCACCCGGTCCTCGGAACATTATTCCAGGAGCGGGGTGTGTGTGTATGGGGAGCATGGTGGGATAGAGGTAATATTATCAACACATCGATGGCAACAGCCTACGGTTAGCGAGCCCCCCATGGTAAACTGCACCTTTCCGGGCCCACCCAGAATCCACGTTATTCCCAGTGCCCGGATAAGAGCACCCAGGCCCACCGGGGTGGGACGTGAACCCGGGTGGGCGTTGCATCCGAGTACCCATTCTTAACCCGCAGTGTCCTGGGAACTGCGAGAAGGGCGGCCGTCACAGATGGCTTAAATCTCGAGACTTGGGCAACTCCTCACAATTAAAAAAAAAAAAGCATAAAGGACAAAGGGGAGGGAGTGAGCGAGGCTGGGAAAGGAGCTGCTTTAATCCTAGGGGTCAGGCCCTTTTATTCGCCACGCCATCCGGGTCCTGGAAAGTATGGTCGAGCTGGAGAGCGGGGTTCGGTTCGTGTCTCTCCCTCTTTTCGGAAGTCGTGACCCTCTTTGAAAGTAATGGGGTCTGGAAAAAAACTCGGGGGAGACGCGAGGGCTGGGTGGTGACCTAAGGGGCTGAGGACCCGACCGGGTTTCCGGAGACTGGGGTGTGACCCTTCCAGCAGCTCACACCAGACCAGCAACCCGGGATGCAGTGGGCAGAGGTCGCGATTGTGACCCCGGAGTCTAGGTCCCTTTGGAACTGGACTCACATCCGGAAGCCGCGACCTCGAGGCAACCCTTATTTCTCAATCAATGATCCAGGGATATTCTTTGAGCCCGGACATGTACTAGGTCTGCGGAATCTCGCGCCCTTGCCTAGGCTCTCCCAGCACAGAGGCTGGGGAGGAGGCCACGGACCGGCAGCTTCCCGGGAGCCTGGGAGCCTAGAAGCCTTCGAAGAGGCTGCGGGCTGCAGTGCGCGCCTTTGCCCGACAGGGACCAGCACAGCTCCACGCCCGGCGCGCTGCAGCCAGTAAAGCCGCGTAGCCACACCGCCACCCTCCCAAACACAGGGGGGCTCGCCAGCCAAGCGGGTCAGACCCCCTTCGGGTTCCGGTAACAAGGAGAATTGTAACAAAAAGTTAACAGACTCGAGGCGGCCTTGGCGCCGCGCCTTAGCCTGCGCCCCTCTCTCCATCTGGGCAGCAGAAGCGACTCTAGTTGTTGGTGCATGGAGGAGGCTGCGACCCAGAGGCGCACAACACTCCGACAGCACTCCTCCCCGCGTCCCGGGCTACGAGAACGACAACAAAATCCTAGCCACGCCGATTTATTCGAATGGGATGTCGCTACCGCTGGAAGGTAGCCGGTTCCTCTGGCGCTTTCCCAGTAGCTGCCGGGTGTCTTTGCAGCGAGGTCGCCTGAATGATTCTAGGGCTCAGCGGACTACTACGGAGTCACCGGCGTCCCGCTACAAGTTTCTGTAGGTTGCTGTCACAGCCTAGCCGGGCGCACCCGGATTTCTGCCACCGTCCACCCGCAATGTGAGGTCGCTCTTTGGTCCCTGCCCTCCCTCGGTTGCCCGAAGTTATACCCCTGCTACCTCCCCACCTGACGCGCAACGGCTCCGTAGGGCGACACGGTCGGGATCGCGGCCAGCGCAGCGGGCCCCCCGATAGGAAACTCACCGGTACCAGGCGAGGCCCTTGTGGTAGCTGCGGTCGAAGAAGTGGGGCTCGGCGCCCACGGCGCGCACGTCGGGGTGCACGCGCAGGAACTCCAGCAGCGCCCTCGTGCCGCCCTTCTTCACGCCGATGATGATGGCCTGCGGCAGCTGCTTGCTCCCGGAGCCGCTGAAGAAGCTGGAGATGGGGCTGGGGGAGTCCGGTGCCTCGGGACTCTGCTCCTCCTGGCTCCCGGCGACTAGTGTCTTATCCTTGCCTGCAGCCAGTGAGTTGGCCAGCGGTGCCCGGAAAGGCATCTTTGGGGATGTCTCATTCGGAGCTGTGACCAGGGCTGGCTGAGCGTGAGCAGCGCGGGATCCCGAGCCCAGAAGCAGCAGGCCGGGCGCGGCGGTGCAAGAGCCGGCGCACGAGTACAGGAACATGTAGAGCCAGATGCAGAGCATGGCGAAGAGCAGCGCGAGCTTCCTCCTCACCGGCGGCGGGGGCGGCGGCGGCTGTGGCAGGAGCCGGCCTGGGACATCGAGGCAGGACCGGCCGCCGCTCAGGCGCTGCCCCATACGCGGCCCGCGGGCGCGGCCAGGGGCATGGCTCAGCACATGGCGCGAGTCCTGCCGGAGCAGAGAGCACCGGGAGGGTCCCCTGCCGCTCTGCGCCCGAGGGATTCGGTTTATTGCCCTCGTGGGCGCGCGGCTGCCGAGGCTGCGGCTCTTCCTCGGGTGGCGGCGGCAGCTGCAGCGGCGACGGCTCTTGACATGTTGCCCACCAGAAGCCGGGACTGGAACGCAAAGTCCGGGCGGCGGGAACTGCGGGCAGACGCGCTGCGGAGGACGCTGTAGCCCGCACCCCGGATACTCTGGACGGGACGCACGGCAGCTCGCCGGGGCTGCCTCCTCGCAGCCAGGAGATTGAGAGCAGCCCCGGCGCTTGCCCGCAGAGGCTGCGGAGGAGAACTGCGCAGGAAGAGAGCCCGGCACTGAGGTGGAGTGGGCGGTCCCGGCCTTCCGAGTGACGGGCCGCGCTACCTACCAGGAACCGCGAGCAGCATGCAAATGTCAGAGCTTCACCCAAGTCGAAACAGCCAATCGTCTCACGGAACGTGGGGGTGTGGAAAGGGTTCGGAAAGGGGGGTAGAGCAGTCTGGGGCTAGTATTGGCTTCAGAATTCAAGAGGCGGGCTCGGGGAGGCGGGGCTATCGGCTGGTGACAGGAGCAGATGGTGAGGATGCTGGAGTGACCCAGAGCTGGAAGAGCTTGGTCCCACCCAGTTGAGTGGCGCTCTCCTGTACACGCGCGCTTTTCCGCACTCGATCCTGGAGCTAGCCTTGACTGTAGTTGCTGTGTGCAGTCCCCATCCAAGAGTTCGCCATCTGATTCCTCAGTGTGAGAGTTGCAGAGCAGAGATCAGGATGGAAAAGGGAAAGCCAATCAGACATATATCCAGCCCCACCGCATACCCAATTCCCCACTCTGGGCTCAGGGGAGGGCCCCAACAGACCCTGATTTAGAAGTTAAGTAAGGGAAAATGTAGCCGGAAGTCACTGACAACCTTCCCCCCAGTCTGTCTTAATATTTGTTGAGAATGATCTCCTTGCGCCTGCCGGTTAACTGGGACAGACGTGCACTCTCTCGCGCTTTCCAAACTGTCTTGAAAAGACTGGGGAGGTGAGCAGAGGGAAGAGGGGTAATCTGTTTCATTTTAAGACCCTATCTGAAACTTTAAGTCGCATGTAGGAGGTTTTATATGGGTATCTGGTCCTTGGCAACATTAATTTGATAAGTACTCTAACTTCCCTTTCTCTCGAATAAACAATAAAGCCGCCATCCAGCCCCCGCTTAGGAGATTGTTTGGTTTTCTGACCTATGACATTGATTCTTAGGCGTTTTTCTCCAATAACTCTTTTTAAAGGTAGAATGTCGATATGAGGCACATCCAGAGTAGTCATTGAGTAGCACTTATTTAATAGTGAAAATCCACTCCGAGGTTCTTCCTAGTCTCGCACCTTTGTCCAGGGGAGCGGCCGGGAAGAGGGTCTTAGCAGAAACTGTCAGCGCTAAGGTGCAGGAAGCGCGGGCGCTAGTGTTCAAAGCGCGGGCTCTAGGGCCAAATTCCTGCGCTGGCGTTCAGAGTTAGGAAAGTCGGGATGCTGAAGTTCACCCGGGTGGCTTGGGGGCCTTTCAGTGCCTGGAACCCATTCTCCGCAAGGCCGACAGACCTCCAACGCCAGGCTGCGTGCGGTTCCGGGGCAGAATTTTCATTCCTTCCGACCCCCGCGCGCGCGCGGGCCAAGGAGGCCCAGGAGGTGACTCACTCTGCGGCCACCGGCGCGCTGCTGTTCCCGGTGGGCACGAGCGGGCGAAGCGGAAAAGAACTTATCCTTTTCCTCCCCACTCAGCTATCTGAGACCAGTGTGCAGGTAACCAGAGCGCATACTTTCTCTTCCGGAATGTATGTCCCCAAAGGTCCGGAGCTCTTGCCGCTCCCCCACAGTCCGGCTTCCGGCCGCTGGGATCCAGCGGAGAAAGTGAGTTTGAGTTGCGCACCTCGGATTTGAAAGTGCATCCTAGCCGTAGTGATGACCGAAGAGGAAGGAGTACAGATGAGAGAGCCGCCACCATCAGACCTATGCGTTCCTGCTATGCTCTTTAGACATCCCTATGTACCTAGCTCAAGCCTAAGCCAATTTCCCGCAAAACTGTTGGGAGCGAAATCATTTGGTCGGAGGACACTTTCTACACGTTTATTGCCACGGTTAAAATTCCCAGGATTGCGCCCCACCTCTGGCCCCCGCCGCCATCGCTGAGCTGTTTGTTCTTCGAAGTGACTTAATCGCCCTCTTTTTTAACTGGTCAATTTCATTTTATTTTAAACTTATAATACAGGGAACAAATGGCGTTCCTGAGCACTAGCCCGACTTTTTGTTCTGAGATCGAGAGGCAAATATCATGGGTGTCTCCGAAGGGAGCGTTTTCAAGTTCTCGTTATTTAGATGGGAAGGAAGTTGCTGATTTGCGAGTGGTGAATTGTAGTTCCCACGTGGCTCCCTTCAGGCCTGACTGAGTGTGAATAAAAATGGTCCCTGTCCTGTGGGTTAGCAAAAGCCATTAAGTGAGCAAGTGAGCGATTACAAATCGAGGCCACCGGATATATTTGGAGTCTCTTTTTCCGGGGGTGGAAGGAGGAAGGCAGAGAGTGGAAGTAAAGACGTGGGCGTCGGAAATTGCCAAGTGTGTGGCGCTGAGCTGAGCGCCTGAGGGCTAAGTCGTAGCCTGGTCCACTTGGTCCCACTGCAGAAAACAATAGGGGAGTTCTCCCCTTGTACCATGCCAGGGCATCGGTCATCCAAGGTCAGCAGGTGGGCGGGGCCAGAATCGCAGCGCCAGTAAGTTTCAGGCGGCGAACACACGCTTTGGTCCTTTAGCCTCCAGGCTCTTCAGGAGCTGTCCTGGAGCCTTTGCGAGTTACTCCTGTACAGCCGCTTCTCTGGATCAGACCTCAGCAGATGTTATCTGCTGCATGGCCTTACGCAGCAAAATGCGAGGCCCAAGGTTCGCTCCTGGGCAGAGCGGAAAGCCAAACTGACCGAGAGCCCAACTGGACCCCCTACCCTCATCTGTCGCTCCTGGGTATTCACCAAGAGCCACCACCAAAACCGGAAGAAAAGATTGCCCTCCAATAAACGTATCCACAATATTTGCGCTTTGGAAAATATGTTGAGGAGAGAATTCAACTTCAGTACGCTTGTGAGGTTTATGTTTTATTTGGGTTGATTTATCTATGATTACTTAATGGAGGTGGGTACCCAGGGCCTGGAGGGAGGTTCTAATCCGCAGGGCAGCCGTAGTCGTTGCCCTCTTTCCCCAGGTCCAGTTGCTAGCAACCTGTTGTGATCCCAAACTTTCTAAAAGGACTGGCTTTAGCCAAGATTCTGGCAGAACACGTTCCCGAGCTTCCATCCCAGGCTCGGGACTGCTGGTCTAGCAGCTGCCTCCACCAGCTACGCCTGAGAACAGCCTCCTTTATGGTGGCTCCCCCACTCCCCTCCGCCGCCGCCGCCTGTCCCCGTGGGACAGCAGAACAGGCATTTCCTGGGCGGCCTGAACCGGCGTCCCAGAGTCCCAGTTCCTGCCACCGGAACCCTCAGCATCGCCCTTTGCCAGCTCAGCCGCCCCAGGAACTGAGCAGCTGCGAGCGGGATATGCCCTCCGTAGCCAGGCGGGAGTGACAGGCGGTGGTGCGGCTGCAGATACCCTGCCCGACCGCCAGGGAGCGCTCCGGCCTGCGCTGCTGCTGCTGCTGCTGCTGCTGCTGCTGCTGCTGCTGCTGCTGCTGCTGCTGCTGCTGCTGCTGCTGCTGCTGCTGGATTGATGACCGCGGCCATCTGGTCTCTGCTGCCTCTTAAAAAGAGGTTTAGACTGGATACCTGCGGCTGCTGGCGCCTCCTGGGTGTCACAGGCGCCGGGGTCCTCTCGTTCCTAGGAAGGCTAAGGGCGCGGCAGCCCAGAGGCTAAGCATAAGGAGGGGAGGGGAGTGAGGAATCCCTGGAGATAGTGATGGGGGCAGGGGGCTGGTGGTTCTCCAAATAGGCTAGAAAAGCTTCGGACTGCCAGGTCCCTCTGTGCAGGAGAAAAAGCCAACATAAGCCCCAGTGGGGAGCTGAGCCCGGACTCTGACTAAAGAAAGAGTAGGGTCGTTGGGGGACCCAGCCACCAACCAGCCTCACAAGGGAGATATGTGTCCTCATTTCATAAGGAAAAGATGTGTAACACCCACATTGGGCTGGTGGTTTGTGACATGAGATTAAGCGGTGCGCTCATTCCGCAGTCTTTCTGTGTGGTGCATAGCACACTGGGCCGGGTTTCCTGGCACCCTGGAGACCCTGGGCAGGGGATGGAAAGTCATCAGGGAGGCCCAGGGAGGCCTGGCGCCCTTCTGTGTGGATGCTTCCCTGCTCTGGAAGTCAGTTTCTGTCAGGAAGTCCTCTTCCCACAGCCTGGCCGTCAGCAGGCCCCACCAGGAGGGCTGCTCAGACTGAGGAGGGTAAAGAGAACTTTATTCGGCTGTGCCTTCCTTGCCAAAGCCAGGGGCTCTCCCGCCCCTTGAAGAGTCCTCTGATTATACTTTCATCAGAGTTCCCAATTGGAAGGGGTGATTCTTCCCTGCCAGGACCCGGACGGGTGCTCTGGCAGATCTACACTGCCTCCCCTAATCTGCCTCCCGCTCCCTGACTGCAGGACAGTCCAAAGCCAAGTAGCTCCACCCAGCCTCAGAACATTACATCATAGGTTTGTCTTCTGCCCTTCCTCTTAAAAGCAGATCCCCAACCCCCAGGCCAGTTCTATCTTAACTCACCCAGCCAAGCTGCTGCACGAATGGAGGAACAGAGGTGGAGAGCCCAACCTCATCTAATTTTCCCACCACAGACTTCCTATGGGGACAGGAAGTTGTGCTACAACTCTACAAGGTGTTTTTGGGACACCCACCTCTCCACTGTCTAAAACAAGCTTTCTTCAGTTGTCTATGTTTTGTTTTTCGAGACAAAGGCTCACTATGTAGCTCTGGCTGTCCTGGGACTCACTCTGTAGACTATGTAAACCGGGCTGGTCTTGAACTCAGAGATCCTTCTGCCTCTGCCTCCGGAGTGCTGGGATTAATGACGTGCTAAAAGAAGCTCTGTCTCTCTCCAACAAGACAAGGGTTTCTGGAGCTTCACTGAGAACACATGGACTGCAGGGCACTGAGCGCACCCTCACTGCCAAGCTCCCACTACCTGTCCATCACTTCCTTCCCTCCTTTCACAGTAGAGGAAGCTGCCGGCTCCCTGCGACACAAGAGTGACCCCAGTACTGCTCTAGACCTTAGCATTTCTCACCCCAGTGACATCTTTCTTAATGTACCAGCTGAGGGCATGTGATCCACTCACCTGCCCTGCCTGACTGCAGATTCTCTACCGACAGCAGCAGGGCTTAAGGGCTGGCCTTCTGAGCTCCAGACCCTCCTGTAGGGTCAGCAAAGGATGAAGGATGTGGACCCGTATCCCAGCTCCACTTCCGGTCTCTGTCCAGACCTACTCCCTGACCCCCCCCTACAGTGGGGGTGGGGAGGGTGGAGCAGGACACTCTTCTTTTGCTTCCAGTACACTTCAGAGGACCCACCTG